GTGAGAGCCGCCGCTTTCCTTGTGAAGGAGGGTATGGCCGGCTATCAGATACCCCGCTCGGAGAGCCTGAGCAGTCATCCCGTTATCAACCATCCGCAGCACCACACGCTGCTGGGCGTTTGCTCCTGCAGAATGTAGAGCAGCTGTTTGGAAAAGAAAGCTTGGAAATGCGCAGTCCACGTACAACAAACCGGAGATCCCGCTAACCGCTTTTCTCTGTTAATCATCGTCTCTGGAGGGAAGGCTGGCACCTTCCTTGCGTAAAATGCTTGTGTGAAGTTCTTTTTTATTGTGCTGGTGAGGACTGGCGGGTGCTGGGTTTGGCTTCAGCCCCATGGGTCACCTGCAGCCCGGGGAGCTGGGTGGGAGCTGGGGGGGAGCATCCCTGTGTCCCGCATCTGAGCGCTGAGCAGGGCTGGCGTCTGCTGCCCGGCTGCGGGGAGGACTGGCCGGAGCTCCCTGGTGGAACAGGGATGGGAGCTTCCAAAGCTGCGGGCAAGGAGCCGGGCTTGGGGTGGGCAGGAGGGAAGGGCAGGGAGAGGGATGTGCAGAAGCTCTGCGCCCAGCGCGTGCTCGGCAGGGCTGCCCCGGCTCTCGGCTGCCGCAACCCGGGGGGCGGGGGGGCGGGCCCGGGGTCCAGCTGAATTTACAGGAAAAAAAATGGTCGGTTGGCCAAAGGTGGCTTTCTACTTCAGAAATAAATGTCTCTGTTGCTGTCTAAGTTAGTGGCTGGGAAAGCATCAAGAAAGCGTAATCCAATGTACAGGTAATCCCCAGTGTGGAGCGTGCTTTATAACCCTGTTGGCCCCTCGGTTAAAAACATCCGTGGGTTGGCGTTTATTAAAGATGATTTATTGTTCTCAGAGAAATATGTCTTGGAGAGAGCGTAGTCCGTGGAACCTGGGGGAAGCTGCGTTTTTCTTGGTCCTGGTAGGATTTATAAAGCAGCATGGCAATTAATGAACTTCCCATGTTCTCCTTGTCTAAAGCTGATGCGGGCAATGTTCACATCACAGGAATGAACTTGGGAAACAAGAGTAAATGATTTCCAACTTCCATCTACGTGTGAACTACTTCAATCTACAGGGGTGAATGCTGTGTGCTTAGTTATACGCTGTTAATTGGTTATACTGGAGATCGCTCGTATAACACCACCTTGTGCAGTGCTGTGTTTCTAATCGCAGCGCTTTGTTCAATCAATAATCTTATAATTAAATATTTACTTTTAAGGAGGCCTTTTAATATGATTAGTTTTGCAGCCTTACAGTTTGGCTCTGCTTCTTTCCGCCAGTCTAATTAGTAAACTTGTGGAGTTAGTAAGAACGAGCAAGTTAATGAGAGGAGGTGGGCTGCCGGGGAGGTACGGCCCGGGTCCAGGCTCCGGTGTTTCTCCAGCCTCGCAGAGGGAGTTTTTAGGAGCTTCCTTGAAGCAAGTCACCAGGTCCCGTGAGCGAAGGAGAGCAGGAAGTCTGCTGAGTGCGGTGGTGATGTTTACAAGCTCATTTTAACCCCAGAAGAGGTGTAATAGAGTAGAGGGGGTTTGGGGAGTTCCAACCCTTTGGTGGCTTTTCCGTGCGCGGGATGCGGGGAAGGGTCCGGCGGGGTCTGTGGCCCTGGGCTAAGCAGGGCTGAGCAGCAGAGGGAGGGGTGCGCTGCTCCCTTGGCTCTGGGGCGGGAGAAGCTTCTGGAGTGGTTTGTGCTGTTGGGTGTTTGGCACCGTGCTGATCTTGGAAACTTTTAACGATGAAATAAATTTATGGGAAAGATGAAACATAATATAGCCTATATTTAAGGTTGAGGAACCTGTTTGTCGCTGCATGAAGTGGTCTGTGATCATGAGGGGCTACGGCTGCGTGTTACAACCTAATGCAAAACCAAACACAAGC